TATGAAATAGTCAATTTTTCATAATGAAATGAAGACAGTCGAGAAGTGTAAGCAACACTAAAAAAAAATCTATAATATATCCATCCGACCGATCGCAACATTTAAAAAATGTCTTAGGATACAGTAAGTCAGTGTACAAATGCCTACATAAATACACAGAATATATTGGTGAGAATGTTTACTTTAGTAGATGGATGGTTTATTTTGGACTACTGAGCTTTAGTAAACATTCAGGTGACATGGAATAGCATCTGTATGACTGCCAGAGATTTCAGCTTCAAGCGCAGTCTTTATAGCGCTTTAATTTCGGAAACTGCTGATGGGAAAGGAAAGGGGAGGGGGACGTAAGCGTGAAATATGCGGTTGTTTAGAGAAAAAAACGGATACGGAAACTTATGTCATTAATGGAAAAACAGTGGGCGAAAACAAAAAAAAAAAAAAGAAAAAAGAAAAACGGAGAAGAAAAGAAAGAATTTTTTTTCTTAGTTGTGGAAAGACGGTGACTATGAAAGGGTATGGGAAATGAATGCTGCATATTGATAGATGCTTAAATAAGGTTGAAAAGTTTGTAAGATGATACTTTTCCATAAGGCGCCTTTTAACTAAAAAAAAAAAAGAGAAGACATTTTATGAAAACCTCTGATTACGCGTAATGTGCTATTTTTGGTCTTTCAACAACAATTTATAAGAAAAAAAATGAGAAAGGAAACAAAAAAAAACTTTTTTACTTTCAATAATGTTTTTTTTACGTCAGCGAATATAAAACCTGCAATAAAGTACGTTTCGAAAGCTGCTAATCACTTTTACGGTTTTGCGGCGAGATAGCAAAAACAGAACAAAAAATGAATAACATTTGGTCATAATAGTCTTAGATAATTTTTGATCGCTGTCAACTGCTATATTGTTTAAAAGGTCAAAAAGCTGACTCATGGGAATAGAGTGATTTTTTGCAGTTTCCGGTAGTCATTACGCAAATAATGTTGTGACAGTTTAGATTCAGTTAGGTAGAATTATTTGCTTACTGAGTTTATAAAAAACTACTGATTTTAAATTACAATTGATATTGTTTTTACAGATCATTCTTAAACGTTTTATTGGGTCTAATAAAATTATGTGGGCATCTGGTCTCTGTTGTGTTAGTCACTTGTTGCCAGATGCATATGGCTACAAGGTAGATGGTACAGTTAGTGTATTTTAAAAGACTAGCTTAATCTTGTAATCTTTCAGCATTCACCTGAAGGATACATTTCTTTAGTTTCACTGTGTTATAGTTTATGAAAGTATCAACAATAACTGCTTACTAGTTTTTACATCAAATTTTTGAGGAAATCGTGTGTTTATTAGACGCTATAAACCACGTTCTAAGCTATTATACGATGATCAAGACACTTGTTAGACGTTTGGAAAATGAAGACTTGTAGATAGAGTAAAACATGGTTTAAGATATAAAACAGTAAATGTGATAATGTTGAAAGTAAAGCTGCAGTTTGCTTTATTTCTTTGACTGGTAAAATTTTAACCTGATAAAGGTTAATTTGAGTGCCGTTGTGAGACTTGAAATTAACAACCTGTACCGAGCTGCGGATAGAAACGGAGCCAGAACTGAAGTGACTCAAGCAATACAACTCTTTATTGGTTTTTTTTTCTACTTGAGCCTTACTACTGCACAGGAAGTCTCTTTCATTATCTAGCAGAAAACATTGCTAGATGTCTTAGAAGCTGTTTATCTTTTTGATGGTGACACTTTGCTTTAACGAGCGAGTTGCCTTTTTGAATGTATCGCATAATTGATGTTACTTTTGTAGCACTATGGTTAAAATTTAAGTGTTTAACCACTACTTCTTTTTGAACAGAAAGCTCTCCGGGCTTTAGAATATGCTATGGATTATTTTAACATATTACGCTACAAAGATATATTATGCATTTGTTAGGTTTCGGCAACTTTCTTCTTTGTATTATGTAAAGCACCTGAGTGATGGTTTATTTTTCAAATTGATTATTATTGTAAGGGAGCGCATATAAAAATGAGCAGGATAACGCACAGTAATCTAGAGAATGTTCTTGCTAAAGATACTTTTCTTCGTAAATTCAAAAGAGTGGCACAGCATTTAGTCTACCAACTGTAACAGTTGAAGTTTTTAGTGTGTATGGACTGACATTGGACACTGCCGTCACTCCTTCAAGATCAAACGTCAGAGGCGACGATGAGGGTGCGTCGGAGAAGCGGAAATTTGTAGGAAATGCGGTAATGCGTGGTGTTGAAGTTTGTGAGTGTCCGGAAAATTATGCAGGGAATAGTTGCGAGGTTTGACGTCAATTTTTTCTTTCACTCTCAGCTGATAGGAGGAGTGTCTTAACTGCTTTTTTTCAAGTTCTGAACTTTTATTGCTTGGCATTGATAAAAAGTGTTCGGAGTTTGGCTTTGGTTTGGTTCTGCTTCTAGTTTTTTGTAATTTCTAGATATTTTGGAATTAGTCGTCATTATCAACACAAAGGCAACTAGTTCCGATAAACCAGAAGTCAGATGCGAAGTTTGAGTAATTAAGAGAATATTCAGTTCTGGTAAGGGGAAGAAATTTTTACATAGACTTAGTGGAAATTGCAACTAAAGTTATTGTCAGTTTTTCTGCGGAACCTATTTTTTAGTTCCAATATTTTCTTTATCTTTGAGTTCTATCTTTTTTTTCTTTGTAAACTAGCTTCCTGAAATTATTTCACACATCTTTTGTAGCTTAGAAAGGTTTCTATCTATTTATTTTTTGAAGTTTAGCGTTAAGCCGAATTCCACGAATTTACGAATTTTTTTCACTGAGCGTTCGGTATTGTAAGATGTGTTAGGCATGCCGCGCATATTACAAGTAAGGTCTGAAAGTCTGAAAGATGCAAATTTGCTTTCATATGCATTTTTTGATCGTTGATTCTTCTTAAAAAGACCTAAGATTTAGGCAACGGGTACAACAGTGTTCGTAATTATAGCCGTTGAATAGGGCATAAGCCAAAAATTGCACATACAAAAATTGAAAAACAAACATTAAAAATGATACAGTGTTTAGGGTAGATATTATATATTATAATAGAGTGGTAAGTTTTAGCTGATTCATGCAAAGGGATCACTTAAGGCACTTAACATTTTGTTGCTTTGGGGATAGCTAGTACTGATTTTAAAACAAAATAAGATGAATTTTTTGTTGTCAAACCATTTTTTGTGAGATTGTAACGTTTTCGACTGTTATTTGCTAACTGAGTAACCAGGACGACCAAAGTATCACTCTAAACAGCTTTATGTGTAATAAGCAAATTTACTCAATGAAATCAATAAAAAATGTTGATGATTGTTTAATTACCTTTAACTGATCCGATTTGATACAGTAATTGTTTTACAGGGTTGTGCTCCCGGTTATCGCCGTGTTAACAGTCAACTTTATGGTGGCCGATGCGAAAAATGCAATTGCGAAGGTCATTCAGATGAGTGTGATCCTTTCACTGGTCACTGTTTGAATTGCAAGGTAAAGTTTCACTATCTACTATGACGCTGTTTATTAAGCTATTTTAGCAGTAACTCTAAATTTTATTATTTAGCATTGCGATCAACACTCATTGTTTTATAGATCAAGTGATATTGATTATTTTTATTATTTTTTTTTCTCGGTTAAGAGGGGGGAGTAAACGGTGAAAAAGTTTTGAACAGCAAAAATAGAAATGAGATGTAAGAAGAATTGTGATTCTCTTGTTTCTAGTCTCAAAAACTTAACTTTTATTAATTTTAATTGTTGCATATGTAAATTAGGAGCAAATTGTGCTTTTTTTACGGCTCTTTTATTTTTTTACTGACTTGTAGGAGCGAGTTAGTGGATACTGATACGGCAGCAACCGAGTACATTTTATGGTTCAGTTTGATATCTTTAATGAAGTAGTAATTTTACAAGCAGAATTTTTTTAGTTTACTTATGTGTTCCATTTTCAGCATAATACTTCTGGAGAACAATGTGAACTGTGTTTGCCAGGACACTACGGTAATCCATCATTGGGTGGTGAACTTGGGCAGTGTAGACCTTGCGCGTGTCCAACTATAGAGAACAATCATTCTAGTCAATGTACTTTAACGGAGCTTATTGTTGAGGAAGCCGCTGCAGTGGGGGAAGGTGATTATGTATGCACAGCATGTGAAACTGGTTATGACGGCAACAAGTGCGAAGTGTTAGTTTACCACTTTTTTGGAAGATGTAAAGTTTTTTGAAAAACCTATTTTTTCCAGCTAAACATTACTGAACATTGACTTAATGGCAAAAATTATGGAAGTTCTTCACTAATCTGCTGAATTAATTTTTTTAGTGTATTGATTATCTTATGATATATAGGCTTCAAAATATTCAGTGTTTTGAATAGTTATAATTTCTTGAGCAGCTCTGTATTACGAAAGCTATTGTTCAGTTTCTTTAGGTACATTTTGAGTGCTCTGTCATTTTTTGTCGAATTTCCAGATGTGCTGATGGTTTTTACGGAGACCCATTAGCAGTTAAAGGGAAATGCAAACCGTGTGACTGTAACGGAAACATTGACTTGATGGCAATCGGGAACTGTGATTCAGTCACTGGAAAATGCTACAAATGCATACACAATACAGCTGGAGATCACTGTGAAAAGTGTAAGCCAAACCATTGGGGCAGCGCAGCTGAAAAAAGTTGTACTCCATGTTTGTGCCATCTGAAGGGTGCTCTGTCACAAAAATGCGACGTTGAAACTGGACGATGTGAATGTCACGAAAATTACGAAGGCCAGCAATGCGATAAGTGCAAGGTTGTCTTTAGGTTTACTTTTACCTTTTTAAAGTCATTTTTCAAGTATAACTCAAGTCTTTTCAAATTCCACTACTTAAGCTATTGTGGTCTGTCTTCTGTACTTTTTACTGAGAATCTGTTCTGTTAAAAAATCAAAAAGAAGTAAAAAATAACAGGATAATTTTTTAGGATGGTCATGGAGACATCGAAAATATGTGCCCGCCATGTGATTGCAGTTCAGTTGGAGCACTTGGAAGTGAATGTGATCAAGTTTCTGGACAGGTAAAACTTTCTACGATTTTGTAGTTTCTGTTACTTATCTAGAAAGGGCTTAGAGTTGGAGAATGGTGTTGTAATATGCTATTGGTATTTATAAATATGATCAATCTTTGGTGATTTAATGATGCAAGTCTTGTTACATTTAAGTGTGTGTGTAAAACGGGGGTATTTGGAAGGCAGTGCGACAAATGCCGAAGTGGTTATTTCAATTTTACTGAAAATGGTTGCCAATACTGTCACTGTAATCCTTATGGAGCTCTTGAGGAGGGCCACTGTGACAGTGTTACTGGTAAATGTGAATGTTTACCAAATGTAGATGGAAATATGTGTGAGAAGTGCGCTGATGGTTATTTTAATATTACTAGCGGTGTTGGTTGTCAGGTAATTTCTGATATTTCCTCTTTAACCTACCAAACATTAACAGGAAGAACTTTAGTCATTATACTAACCTTTTTATATGCTTCTTTTACTTTCTTTCTTAGGAATGTAAATGTGATGAAAAGGGATCTGAAGATAGCCAATGCGATATTCGAACTGGACAGTGTGTCTGCAAACGTGGAGTTACTGGTTTAAAGTGCGATGTCTGCGCGCCTAACCACTACGGTTTGGATGAAAGCGGTTGCAAAGGTTAGCTTCGAGTCTACTTCAAGAATTAAAAAACTGAATTTTTCAAAAGAAAACAGAGAAAGACGGAGTGAAAAGCACTTTTGTTTAGAATGTAAGGTGTGCCCAGCACCAGGGCAAGTTTGCGACCCCGTAACTGGCGATTGCGTTTGTCCTCCAAACACGGTCGGTGATGTTTGCGAGAATTGTACTAAAAACGCTTGGAATTATCATCCATTGAAAGGATGTGTTCTTTGCGACTGTTCTGAAGTTGGAGCTGAGGGACCTGAGTGTAATCCAATTAACGGACAGGTCTGAAGTTTTTT